GCCCCGCCCCCCAGACCCCCCCCAGAGCCGCCCAGGGCGCCCTCGCTGCTGCGCTTATCCTGGCGCAGGCTCCGCGAATCCTGGGGGAGACACGACGACCCTCGTGGCCGGCCTGGTTCTCCCAGCTGGAGAAGCCCACCTGCCCACGGGCCGGGAACCCAAGCCTCATAAAGGCCAGCTGTAGCACGTGAGCAGACGAAAATTAACTGGGAGCCTCTTTCGCTCCGCGAGGGGAGGGTGGATTTTCCAATCCCTGTTCGGTCGTCCGTTCTGGCGTAGACCTTCCCTCCTCCCGCCATCGTACCGCTCCCTCTGTCCGCCCTCCCCGCGCCCGTCAGACCTCAGCAAAGCTCTCCCGCCCCAGGCCCCAGGAGGCCTCCACCCTCCCACCCCTCCACGCTGAAAATCCCCATGATTTTCGGGGTTGGAATGGGGACCCACGTATCCCCGGGGGGGTTGAGACCCTGGCTGCACTCACGCCGAAAGGTCATCACTGTGCCCCTTCTCTGCCCCAGATCCAGGGCGACCCACAGGCTGGACGCAGGAAGCCACCAGAGAGCCCCTGTTCATGCCTTCCAGCAAGCCAGGCAGAGAGCAGAGGTCTGCCCTCTGGGGCCTGAACCGCAGCTCTGGTTCGTAAGGCCCTATTAGGAAAAGGCATGGGATCCAAGGATCCCTTGGTGAACTCCACTGCCACCAGCCTCGACTTCCCGGGTGGGCCACTGCCCCTCGGGCCACGGGGAGGTGGGGAGTGTGTAGAGTTCTTAGGCCACCTCTCCAGTTGGGGAAGTTATGCTATGGGCAAAAGGCCAGTGGGAACCTTGCAGAGGTGTTCGTCCTGCACCTACCTGGGCAGGTGCTACCCAGATGCCCCCACCACCCACCCCATGGCCGGAGCCATCGTGGACTCCTCTCTTCTCACATCTACCACCGAGTGTCGATGTGCCCTCCACGGTCCAGGCAAGTTTCTCTGAGAACCTCCACAGGCTCGCTGCCCATGCCACCAGTCTCTGGCCTGGGCCGCTGCAGAGCCTCTTGGCTGGTCCCCCTCCTGCCCCTGTAACACATGCAAATTAAAAATAAATAAATAAACAAGCACATGGAAGTACAGAAGGCCACTAATCACAGTCCAGGTCTTAGAGGGTCCCCTTCCAACTATTATCCTCTGTGTGTCTTAGTCCATTGGGCTGCTATGACAAAATACAGACTGGGGAGCTTATAAACAACAAACATTGATTTCTCACAGGTCTGGGGGCTGGGAAGTCCAAGATCATGGCGCCACTTCCTGTACAGCTGTCTTTTGACTGTGTCCTCACAGGGTGGAAGGGAACGAGCTCTCTGGGGGCTGTTTCGTAGAGGCACAGCTCCACCCTCAAGACCTAACCGCCTCCCAAAGGCTACGCCTCCCGGTCCATCACATTGGGGGTTGGGATTTCAACATACAGATTTTCAGAGAATATGGACATTCAGACCATAGCACTATGATATATAAGCATGTACATATTCTATCTACATATAATATACATATTATATCTGTTTACTTATCCATTTTACCCACTAAACTGTGAGCTCTTTGAAGGGAATGTATCTTATTATCTCGTTGCCTTGGCCCAAGACCTGGCCTAGTCACTCCACAGAGGTTTCTGATAAAAGTTATTGAAAAAAGGAATGAAAACTGAAACTGTCTTGGCATTGACAGAAATATGGCTGTGGGACAACATGGCTTGTATTTTCTTATTGTGGGTACCAAAGGACAGAGTGGCGCACAGAACATACCTGGAGAACGAGGAAACATCTTCACGATGGCATCTCCTCATGTTTTAGAAATCGAGCCCCTGAACGGGATACCAGACAGTCCTGTCCGCAGCTCCGAGTTCCTTCTTCTCTGTTTTCCACTCTCAGACCTGAGCCACCCCTCTCTCCCCCCAGACAGCAGGAACTTCCATCTCCCCATCTTCCTCAGTTCTAAGACGTGCATTTTCTCACATTCTAAGATTTCTGAAACTGAGGCACATCTTGCAGTCATTGCCAAGGGAAACCTGGCACGAGGAGAGGTGACGTGGGGACGTCCACATGCTGCCTAGAGGAGAGGGTGTCTTCACCCGTGAGCTCTGACGCACTGGCTGCATTGGGAGCACAATGCATGGCTGAGTTTTAATTAAGATCTAGAAGCATATTTGTCACTTAAAATGTCATTAGAAAGTTTAACTCTGATGTAGTAGCAAAATTTATTTTGTATATGGAAGATTTCTACAGAAAGGCTGTCGAAACTGCCAAGACTCTTTGGCGATCTGTACTGGGAAACCCTTACTCTCAAGGAATAGAAACCGTGCCTTGAAGTGGCTTGAACAACATGGTCATTTGTCATCTCAGCTAACAGAGCGATAGGAGGGAAGAGGGCTCCAGGGCAGGTTGAGTCAGTGGCGAAGTGACAAAGGACCTGGCCTTTCCATTTCTCCTCTCTGCTATCACCTTCAGATAGAAAACGTCCGGAAAGGGAATAAAGCACTTAATTATCTGTGCAGCTGCAGATGAAAATAATAAGAAAAACAGGGTTTGGTTTGGGAGGCCACTTGGCATTATCTAACCATATTTAAAACAGATACCCTTTCTCCCAGCAGGTCATGGTTCCAAGTGATAAATGTATTCTACAGATATATCCACACATGTACACGAGACATTCTGTATAAGGACATTTATTGCGATACTGTTTGCAGTAGCAAAAAAAAAAGAAGAAAGAAAAAAAGAAAAGAAACCACCTAAAAGTCTAAAAGTCTTTCATTAGGGAACTAGTTAAATCAATTATAGCACATCTACATTATAAGGCACTTAACTATGTGGCCATTAAAAAGAGCAAGGAGCATTTATGCTGGTGATACAAACAGATCTCTAAGACGTATTAAGTGAAAAGGCCAGGTGAGTGTAACATCCCACAGCTGTGTGAACACAGTGGCGAGTGCACACACACGGGCTGGCACGTGCACAGACTGTAACTGGCGCCCTGGTTGTTTTTGTGAAGGGGAACCGGGACGCACCCTTTCGCAGTGTTTGAATTTTTTAATTACCTGTGTGCATTTCTTAGATTTACCGAATGTCCACATTTTCCAAAACAGGGCTTGGAATGGTCTATATAGTATAGACTTTATAAAGTGAAGAAGGGTCACCATTGTCGCCTCCCCACACTGGAGATGCCAGCATTCAAAAGGTTGGAAGGGTGAATGCACAGGTAGAAGTCAAGAAGATGCAAGAGGAAATGTGCTGTGAGCCGGGAGGTGGCGCTAGAGAGCACAGGCCGGCGTCCGGCCTGTGAAGACGCGGGTACCGGGTACTCAAAAGCGACGCTGATGTTCTTTAGATAAACACACGAGTTTTACACCTGATTGCTGTTCCTTCAGAGTAGCCTACTGAGAAGTTGGATGCTCAGGCATCTCTGAGCTCAGGACTTAAAAATGTGCCTGGAACTCCTGCTTGGACCTTCAGGGTATTTGTCGACAGAGGATGGATCTGAGTTTTGGAAACAGTCAAATGTCAATTGGCCACAGTTTGGTTAACGAAGTGAAAGATCAAGTTAGGCAATTAGAACCTTTTAGAAAAGAACGATACAGGATCAAAGCAGGCTGCTGCTCCGATTCTTCTTAAAAATAGGCTCGGCCCCAATTTTTGAGCCCCAAAAGGATGCTCAAAAGATGACGTGTGCCTTGGCAGCGTCGTCTGGAATGGGGCTCAGGCTGCCCAGGGGGCTACTTTGAAGACGTCAACGCTCTCTTGGAAGTGTGGGTTCTGCTTACTTGCGGGCAACGCTGGCTGTGGCGCCGGACGGGTGGCCGCGGCACGGAGCGCTCAGCTCTTCTTGCGCAGCTGGCTGTACTGCGCTCGGCCCAGAATGGGCTCCATGACACTGGGCCGGAAGAAACTGTCGCTGACCCTGCGCGCTGGCTTCTCGCGGGGCGAGGCCGGGAAGGCCGGGCGCGGCGCGGCGGGCGGGTCCCCTCTGTCCTCCAGGCTCAGGCCCCGCGTGCTGCGCAGGCTGCCTCGGTGCTGTGCGGGTCGTGGTGTGGGCTCAGGGCCAGCGGGCAGCACCCCAGACCCCCTGCGCTCCGCCTCCTGGCGCACGACCTCCTCGATGTCCCGGAACTCGCTCTCAGGCTCCATTAGTGACAGCCTGGGGAGCTGAGGACCCAACCGAGGCGTCAGCGCCTGGTTGGGCCCACACCGTGCGCCTCCCACCCACTGCCTCTTCTGGGTTCCCCATGATCCGGCACCCTGGGAGGGGCCATTAGGAGGGCACAGGCTGGGTGATGGGACAGGGCCTCTGGCGCAGCAGGATGGGGTGCCTGCGGCCGACAGATGAGGTCCTGCCTGCTCTATTTCCATGATCTAGACCCCCTCACCCAGGTTTCTGGATCCTTCTGTCTCCCTCAGCGGGAGGCCAGTGGCCTTCCTGACCCTTCCTTAGGTGCGAGTTGTGGGCTAAGCACGACCGATTCACTGCAGGGGTCAGAGAATCCCAGCCTGGTCCTGTTTTGGGCCCGAGGTGGACAGGCTGGCACACCTCCTGGTGGGAGGGACCCACTGACCAACTCCCCCACCCACGCCGCACGGCTCTGAGGGAGCCTCCTGCCCTGACCAGCCCTCCTAGAGCCTGCAGTTGGCGACCTGCTCCAGGAAGGGGTCCAGGGTCTCCCAAAAGGCTAGTATTGGTGACCCTTGGGTTTTTCCTGTTGGTGACAGAATTGAGATGAGGACAGCTGCTGTTTCCTGGAACATAGGCCGCCCCCCAGGACCCATGGCAGCCTTCCTCCAACCCCTTCCCAGGGAACAGCACACAAACCTCCCAGGTCCTTGCAGGTGGGAACTGAGGGGTGAGGGCTGAGCTACTGGGGACTCCTAGAATGATGGGGACAAGGGATGTGGGGAGAGGTCTCAGGCTAGGGCAACAGGTCTCTATGTTCCCGGGGCTGGGAAGGGACCCATTCAAGGCCATGGTATGTCGAAAGGTTTCCCGGACACTGAGGAGCAGAGCAGAATCACCGAGGAGATGGGAAGGCCCCGAGGGGCAGGGACTCACCGGCACGTAGTGTACCACTGTATCCACCACGTTGTCTGTCACGCCCTTCAGGGCGTCTGACAGGGACATGGCCCTCCCCTTGGTCGAGCCGGCGTGAGGCGCAGCACGGGCTGGCGTGAGGCGCAGCACTCTCCCTGCTGTGCCCAGCACGGCTGCCGGTGCCCACGTCACGGCCGACACGGCGCTGTGGAGGGCTTTGTGCAGGGAGTGTGCCACACTGCCCAGGAGGCCCTGGGGGCTGGGCAGGGCTGCCACCTGGGGACCAGAGCAAAGTCAGAGCCTCCTGCTGTCACTCCCCTGAGCCTTCCCCTCCCCCGCATCCCCAGAGGGAAAGAACGGGGACACCTGCCCCTGCCGCTAGCTGTGTGGCCTTGGGGAGGCCACGTCCCCTCTCTGAACCTGTTTCTTCATCTGCAACAAGGGGATGACAGTCTCCACCCTGATTACCTTAGGGGCTGTCGTGAGGGTCAGCTGAGGGAGGGGCATAGTCGTGCTCACTCAGCTGGTGGGGAGTCTGGGTGTGAGGTGAACAGGGCTGCACCCGGGTGCCATGCCCCTGGGCCCTGGTTTCACCCTGTGGCTCTGTGCATCAACCCTCCGTGGCCTGCGGGACCGTGAGGCCGCCTCACCTCACTCAGCTGCTTCTCCTCGGTCTCTGACTCATCCTCCTGCTCGGCCTCCTCCCCCTCTGTGTCCGTCTGCTCGTCGTGGTCCTCGTCCTGGGAGGCGGCGAGGTTGTGCAGCCAGGGCACCCGCACCTCGCTCTGCCGTCGGGACACCACCTGCATGGCCGCTGACGCACCCCACTGGGCCAGGCTGCTCTGAGGGGCGAAGGTGGCAGCCTCTGGCTTCACAGTCCCCACGGCCAGGCCCTTGCCCGCACGGTGCGGGCAGGAGGTGAGCAGGGCCCGGCCCAGCAGACTGTGCTTAAAAAGCTTTTCGTTGAGTGGGAACGGGCACACGCTGAAGTGCACACAGCTTCCGTACAGCTCTGTGAACTGCTACAAGGGCACACCTGTGTAGCCAGCGCAGGTCCCGACAGAGGCCATTTCCAACTCCCCGGAAAACCCCCTGTGCCCCAGGCCCAGTCGGGAGCCCCCAAGGCTGACCACCTTCTGACCTCCATCGCCATGCACTGGATCTGCCTATTTCTGAACTTCATAAAAGGGGCTCAGACACAGTGTATTCTTTCATGAAAAGCTTCTGTTCAACATTGTGGTGTGAGAGTTACCCGTGTCACTGCATGTGCAAGTGGCCCCTTCTTTTCCATTTCTGCGTGATATTCCAATGTAGGAATGTGCACGTCTACCTATTCTACTGCTGACAGACATCTGAGTTGTTCTCAGCTCTAGTACGGATAAAGCTGACAGGAGCATCTGACCTGTCTTTGGGAGACACAAGGTCTCGTTTCTGTTGGGTGGAATCGCCGGGAAGCAGAGGACGTGTGTGTTTCACTTTAGGAGGCAGTCTTGGCTGATCTTTAAAGAGTGGAAAAATCAAGTGGGCCAAAGTGTTCCATAGGAGAAAAGCAGCAGGCCCCCCCCACTGGTAGATGGCCCCCTAGTACGGAAGCTGGCACATAGTACGTGCTCGGCAAACATTTGCTTGAAGGAATGAGCCATGCTTGATGATGCTTTTAAAAGTATCGCCCAAATGATGGCTGTAAAGTAGTTATCTCGTTTGCTGACTTTTGTGCTTTAATATTGTTTTCATTTCCTTTTTAGCCCAAATTTCTTACTAAAATTCTTTATGGAAAAAAAAAAAAATCCAGCTATCTCTGCTAAAAATACACAGAGGGATGGGGGTGGGAGGAGTCAGCCCTACCTGGGTCTAGAAAAGGCAGCTTTACCTTGGGTACAGCGGGAGGTCAATTAGAAGCCCCCAGAAGGGACAGTCAGGGAAGGCCCAGCTGGGGTCCTCTCCCCAAAAGAATGGGTTTGTGCCTTGCTTACTTACAGGGGACACTCCCTGGTGCCTAGACAGCAGACGGGGGCCTCTGCTCCTCACAGGTGGGAGGACCCATAGCAAGAGGCCCACTTACGGGAAGAAGGGGCGGGGCCCGGTGGGAGAATGGGAGAGACAGAAACAGGTGGTAGGACAGGGCCACCCTTGCAGGGCAGGCCGTCCGCCCGAGTCCCGGCCTCTCCCTCCCCTGCAGACTGGAGGACGAGCCCTCTGCCCCGCTTAGGCCTCTCGTCCTTAGACCTGAAGTCCCAGCCCAGGCCGGAAGAGAGGGCATTCTCAGGGTGGGGTGGAGTCGGGTGGGAGACAGAGGGACTTAGGGGCGGGCAGACACTCACCAGGGGCGCCATACCGGGGATCCACATGGCCAGGGCGTGGCCCTGCTTCAGCACCCCGACTGTGGTCTGGAAGGTGTGTTGAGAGACGGTGTTGGCCAGGGCCCCAACCCTGCTCACGAGGCTTGGCTTGGCCTTGGGAGGCTTCTGGGTCCGTGGGCGTCCTGGAGCAGGGCCTGGGCAGGAGTTAGGGGGAGCAGATCAGAGGAGCTGGGGAATGCAGGGTTCTAAGGGTTGTCCAGGGTTGTAAGCAGTTGTCCTAGCTCCGTGAGCTGTGATCTGGGCAACTCGCAGTCCATACTTACTAATGGGGCGAGGGGCATAGCAAGAACGGGTCCATCTGAAAACCCCCCTGGGCCTTCCCTGCTCCAGAGCAGTGGCTGGATGAGCCCTTGCTGATTTTACTTATTCCCAGGCTGCACGGGGGCCAACTCACTCCCCGGGGTGGGTCTGCCAGCCCCCGAACGGTAGATACCTGACGACTCCTTGGCTGGAGGGAGGAGGAACTCGACCACCTTCTCCACACCACCCAGCGCCAAGTCGGCCCCTCCAGAGGCCAGCCGGCCGGCTCGGGTGTTGGCGGCATAGTCGGCGGTGTCTTTGGCCGCCCCCCAGGCGAGCTCACAGCCGGCCAGAGCGGCCCCCAGGACCTTGTCCGAAGTGCTGGCGATGGGCGCACTGATGCTGTTCCTGGCACTGCGCAGGCGGCTGGAGATGGTGTCCTTCAGCTCAGAGGCAATCTGGGGGAGCGAGGAGGAGGGTCGCCCAGGGCACTGGCACCAATATTTGGGCACCTGGATTACGCTGGGCCTGCAATGCAAAGAGCTCCAACCCTTCCTGTGCCAAGCGCCCCGGTCACCTGGCTTCTTCACACCGTTTCTGCCTGGTGAGTTCCTAACTATCCTGTGATGGTGCCCCCAGGGACAACTGCTTGATGACACCTGTCCTGATACCCTCATGCACACAAGGTGTCGCCTCTTCCAAACTCCTCCACTGCCTCCTCCGTCCTGCCCTCCTCATGCTGCTCACAGGCCCATCTGCATCGATAGTGATTTACAGACGTGGCTGACCTTCCTACACGTTCTGCACTGAAGGAGTCTCTCTCTCCCACTCACCTGGGACCTCCTTTGTAATGAAGATCTTGCCCTTCACCTGGAAAAGGGGGCAGTGAAGACCCCAGGCCTGGGAGCCAAACAGACTCGCTCTCATGTGGCCTCCACTTAAGGTCACTAGTTTTCTCACCTGTGAAGTGGGGCCAACCACCCTGTCCCAGAGGGTTGATAAGATTAAATGAGACAGCTCTAGAAATCACTCACGGCCCCTGGCACAGCGCAGGGCACAGTAAATGTTTGTGGATGAACTGGTAGTTGGTCAGTGAGGGGGACCTGCTCCAAACTCCTGTCTGAGTTTGCCTCCAGGCTTGTGCCTGCAGCCCCTGCCTTCATTTGGCTCCATAGACAGGAAGAAGCACACTGTGTGACCTTGGGGTCAGTCAGCTGCCACCAGTCTCAGAGGACACTTGCCACAGAAATGGAAAACTCGCAGTCATGGCATCATCAGCTTGTACCCTCTCCTCCCCCGAGGCAGTGATGACAAACTGTGGGGCACGTCGGAGAAGAGGGACTGGCTCACCTTTTCAGGAGGGTACTGGAGGGCTGGGATCTTTTCCTCCAGGTGGTCCAGGCCCCGGCAGGCCAGGTCGTTGGCAGCTATGACTGGAAGCAAAGGGACATGCTGGAGTGAGTCCTGCCCCCACGTGTCAGCCTAGCACTGGCCTCTGTGCCAAGGCAGGTGCCTGGGAGCCCTCGAACCCCCCAGTCCCGCTGTCTCCAGAACATCTGGGAACCGGAAGCCCTCCGCCACCTTCAGCCCCCGTCTGCTGTGAGGCCAGGCCAGATTCTTCCAACTGTGTGGGAACTCTGGAGCAGGCAGACCCGCACCCAGCCCAGAGCCGGTATCTGCAGCGTGTGGCTCTGGGTGGGTTACAACCTCTCTGAACCCCCTTTTCTCATTTGTCAAAGGTGGGTTAATGGTGCCTGCCTTGCACGGCTGCTGTGAGGAAAAGTGGTGGAAACGATGTGAAACAGCAGTAAATACTGGGCTCTCCCTCCTCCCTCCTCTCTCCGGGTGAGCATGAGGTGACAAACTCCCAGCCACAGCCCGTCCAGGCCCAACCATCCACGGCTTTTCCTTTTAACGTCTAGGAGTGAGGTGGTCAACAGTGGGAAGAGGGTCACGGGGGAGCAGGGCAAGTGGCAGAGGAGGCAAACGTTCCCAAGAGACACTGCCCAGGGCCACCAAGGACTAGGCTCTTTTCTATGTTCCTTCTCCAGATATCTTATGCTTCTCCACAAACTTTAGTAGACAGGCCAGGGGACTTGGCCGTCCTCTGAGTGGGTAAAAACTCTTTGGAGAGCGTGCAGGCAGGGAGGCTGCTGGCCCAGGGCCTGGGTCTTTTTTAAATGCAGGTGGTGGTTGTGTGGATTCCCTGCTTACCCATAATCGCCTAGTCAGGCTGCTAGGAGGCCCAGACTTCCTGGTGCTGCCGGGATTCTCAGCCCTGTCAAGAGCCACGCCTTGGAAACCGTTTTCAAATGGGGGCAGAATGGTTTGCACGGCGGGGGCGCCGTTCTGGCAAGGCTGCATGGACAGCTGTCCTCCACCTCCAGGACCCTGACTGGTGGCTCTCTGCTGTCCCCCCGTCACGAGTAGGTGCCGTCAGCTGCTGGACCCAGAGGGCTTCCCCTGGCTTTCCACCGCCCCAGGCCTGCCAGGCCACCCCTAGCACCCGCTGCCCCTGTGCCAGACTCTGCTGATTCCCGCTGCTGCTTCTGCTGCTGGCTTTGGAGCTAAAGTGGGGGTCTGGTCTGCCACCGGCCCCACTCCCAACGCCCAAATAGCCAGACATGTCAGCAGACAGACCAGCAAGCCATCAGATGGTCAGACAGACAGACGGGTGGACACAGACTGGCAGGCAGGCTGTGAGCACCAGGGACAAGCTGGCGGCCTCCGAGTGCCGTGAGGACTCACACTGCGTGGACAGCCTGCGGACCACGGGCTCCATGCCCCAGGCCGCCAGGCTGCTGGCGCCCTGCACGCCCTTCTCGTAGGCGTTGCACACCGAGGCCACCAGGGGGTGGGACTCCTTGGTGCTGGTGTAGGTCTTCTGGAAGCACTCGCAGGTACCGCTCACCACCGGCAGCTGCAGGACCCGCTGCAGCACGTTCTCCTGCTCCTGGCACAGAGAGGAGAAAGGCGTCAGGCTGGCCCACGGCCCTCTCCTGCTTCGGGGTCACAGAGCCCATTGGTGAGGCCAGCCTGGGTCCAAGTGACCTGGGAGGAACTCTGGACGCCCCACCAGAAAAACAAGAGTCAGCCTGCCGGACTCTGCTGGTCACAGTGCAGGCCTCGGGGAGCTACTGAGGTGACCGCCACCCTCCAGGGGCCCTCCAGCCCACTCCACTTACACCTACCGATAGGGAGAGATGTGTCTGCAAACCTGCCCGGAGTTTTTGCCCAGCTTGGTTTGGTGGCTTTATCTAAGCATTCGCCTGGTCTTTCTGGGACACCGGCTCCCCGCTTCTGCGTGCTGGGCCCACTGCCTGAAGCGCTCCCCTTCTCTCCCTTACCCCTTACATCCAGAGAAATGCCACCCCCTCAAGACATGGCTAGAGCATCACTTCCGTGAAGGTTCCGGACTCTCCTCCCTCCCATCAGAAGCCACTGCTTCCTTCTCCGGGCTGTCTCCACATTCGCCGCACGAGGCTGTGTACCTGCCTCTCCCCCAGTAGACTCCCACCCCAGTGCCGACCTAACGCCTGCACAGCAATGCTAGTCACATACACGAGGCATGATCGGGGCTGCACCTAGCGGAAGGTGTAACTTCAGATCTCAGGCCTCCGGGGACCTCTGCAGCCTTGGATCTGCATGTCTCTTTGGATGGAGCTCATGCCTCCTAGAGCGGCCTGTGCCGTGTGGGACAGTGTTGCTGAGCTGAAGTCCGCCTCTGCCCTCTGGAATAACACTGAGCCAATCTACTTCATCATCCCCAGGCTGGTCCTTTACATATTTGAAGGTGGATGTCTCCCTTTAGCTGTCCCTTCTCCACGCCAAATAGTTCCAGTCCCTAACGTAGCTCCCGGACGGCTCGCCCTGGTCTGGTGATCCCTTCCTCCAAACACGCGGCTTCGGCGTTCGGCATTGCCCTGATACAGCACTCAGACTCGAAGACAGCGTTCCAGGTGTACGTGGGGCACCGCAAACCATCAGTCCTCACTACTGGGGTGCTGTGCTCCTATTACTGCATTTTAACTTTGGTGGCAGTCACATACTTAAACTTTAGGTCATCTGGGAATCTCAATGAAAAGACACTGGTCTCTGAATCAAAGAATGTGGATTCTCGTCTCCCACAGGGAACATTTACTCAGTGTCACTGCGCTCCAGGCAACGACTGGGGTGTTTTGGTGACACGACCTCATTTAAGCCTAACAGCGACCCTCTGAGGTCAGCATTACCACCACCACTTTACCGATGAGAAGACAAAAACTCAGAGATGTGACATGACTTACCCAAGATCACACAGCTAGTAAGTGGCAGAGCTGGGATCCTGACTCAGGCCTGACATGGCTTATCTGGGATTTGTTCCAAAACGACCCGAGGTGGGGGAATAGATGATGGATGATGGTGAGGGTGAGGCAGGATGGGCCATGGATTCATAGTTGTTGGAGTGAGTGAAGGGTATTATATTCTGTCTACTCTTATGAATGTTAAGGATTCTCCATGTAAAAAGCAGAAAAAGAAAAGTCACCAGGTCCGACACAAATGCTTGAGCTCTCTACAGCTCTGAGTCTGCCACCACTACATGGCTCTGCTTGGGAGGCGAGGACCTGGCCCCTTCTGTTGGCAGGAGGCTGAGCTAGACGCCCCATCAAGGAGATGAGTATGGACAGCAGACAGGCTACAGTACTTCGGCTTTTTGTCTTGCAGGTGAGTTTGAAATTTGAAGCAGAAAAAGATTACGACTGTGAAAAGAAAATATTTTCTTTAATATTTTGGACAGAATCTTCAGGTGTTGTTTTAGGCAAAACCAAAGGGGAAGAGAGGTCCTGGGAAGGGAATAAATCACCACCCATTAGGATGGCTTAACTGTGCACTTGACCATGTCATGTGTTCAGTGATTCGATACAAAGCTTAACATGGTGATTCCTAATGCAAAGGTCAGCTAAAGCCTAACCTGGGACAAGATGGGTACTGTAGGGGTTCACGATTTTTAAGTTTCACTATCTGAACTGTGCCTAAATCAGAGAGGGCTTGCCAGGAAGCATCGGGTACACGTAAACATGTCAAACCATTCCAAGTCACAGTAAAAACCAGCTAGACACACAACACGGGACACCCTGCCCCTCCAACTCTTTCCACATTCAGCAGCAGAGGCTGTGCACTGTGTGACTGCAAGAGGTGCCACTCGCAGGGACTAAGACACGAGCGATGCCCTGGAGTTACAGACGCAGCGGCTCAGTGCCAGACGGACGAAGCGCGGACTCTGCGCCGGGGTCAGCACGCGGTGGTTCCCCTCTCCCGTTCCCGCAGAGCCAGTATTTCTGCCCTTTTTCTACAAGGTGCCCAGTTTTTAATAGGTGCCTCCCACCCCCACCCCACCTCCGATCCTCTAACAGCCCCCTGCAAAAGGTAGTAAGGGCAAGAATAACTAAGACGTAATGGTCCATGAACTTGAGCATCACCTGGGCATACGTCGTTCTAAGTCCCCTGATGCCACCCCTGGTCCTCCCTCTTCCATCAGCTGTCCACCCCCACCTAAGCACAAGTTACTTACAGGGAGGTCTCCGTCCAGCAAGGCTGGGCCCTTGTTGACCGCCATCGGAGCTCTTCAAGCTGCAAAGCAGAGGCCCCCAGGTCCATCAGAAAGCCCTCAGCTTGAGAGCCACAGGGTCAGTCCTCTACCTCTCCATGGCCACCAATGGGGCCCAGGCTGCCTGGGAACTCAGGTTCCCTGAGCAGAAGGCATTAGGTTGGAGGCTGAATCACAGACACGCGGCCACTTCTTGGAGGCCCATAGGGAGGTGCCCCACAGCTTGATGTTTCTGACAAGGGTTCAGGGTCAGAAATGAAAAATGAAGGTAGCTTTAAGACAGAAGAGATTTTAGATGAAGTTGAGGGCTTCTCTAATGAGGGGCCGAAAGAGACTAAAACAGGTTTCAGGTTTAGCCTTCTTTTAAATAAAAGCATTCTGCATTAACTCCTCTCTCTTTAAGCAAACTTCTCTGCCAGTCCTTCCTTCTATGCTCAACCTGGTGAAAAAGTAGTCACTCTGAAGACCAGCTATTTCGGCTGCATTCTGGACAAGCTGGTGGCCCCAGACTATCTACTCTACGTTCCTGGCCATTCGCGTTGCAGGCCCCGTCATCCTCGGTAAAATTCCCAGGAGACCCTGACCCTTGACTTCTTTTAACTCTCAGAAACCAACCAGGTAAGGCTGATGTCCGGGACCCCCACACTCACTGCAGCCGATGCCGCCTCAGTGCCACAGAGCCCAGGCTGCAGTCTCCGCCGGCGGAAAGAACCCCAGTTGCTCTGAGGAGTCTTGGGCAATGCTACTGACCTCCCAGCTAGAGGAGGGCAGAGGAAGAGAAAGCTGGGTCATCGGCTGTCAGGGCTATTTGACCAAGGGTCCCCTGGGCACATCCTAACCCTGTAAGATGTAGCCAACTAGGAGGCAGATCACAGAGCTAAAGACTCAGGCTCAGAGGAGTTGTTATTCCAGAGCCATAAAAAATCAATTCTGTAACGTGTTTCTGGCTCCCCCAGTTCTCAAAAAACTGCTTTCCGGAAAGACAATGTTGGAAAATATGTCATTAAACTCATAAGCTCTGAGGTCCTATAATCTTTGGCACCTTTTCCAAAGAGGCTCCTATGAGACTGTTTTCAACCCATCTCCCATCCTTCTTATTTACTATCAGGAGTGAATTTTGGAACAGAAGGATTTAAATCCACATGGGAACAGCGTTCCCCTGAATGCACCACTCTTAGTGAAGAGAAACTGTTCTCAGTGAGGATAACCAGAGCTGGGTTGACTGCCTGACAGCCTAGCCTTTCAGGGAGCAAGTTCAACCTCTGGAGACTCCTAGATTGCAAGAGAGTTTAATGAACTCCACCTGGTCTAAGATGCAGCCAGTTCTGTCAAGTCTGGAAGAGCGACAGTGTTGCCCGAGCCCCTGTCACTGGTCACCAACCAAGAACTATCGCCCACGTCCCCTTCTTTAAGCGAGTCGGGTAGGGACCCGAGTTCTAGTCCCTCTTCAAATGGTGGGAAACCATGGTGTAAGCCAATGTTCAAGGGCCTTTCAAGAAAAATGGACAGCAGGAGCACGGAGCTGGTCTCCCTCGGTGCCGGAAGAACGGCATCTGTTGCTAAGCTGTATGCCGTGGGCAGCGGGAGAAAGCCGGGGTGGGGAGAGCCGGCGCTTTCTGACAGGCCCTTGGTGACCGATTCTGTGATACAACTAGGGAGGGAATGCGAAGTCAGGAAAGGGAGGGAGGCTGGCAGGGAGCCTCCAGAAGAAAACCTGATGCATTTAACAGTTATTGATCCAACTGGACTTTCAAACTATCAGACAGTGACGGAGAGGAGGCATCTAAGTGGCCTCTGCCCTCGGTCCAATGTTCAGGACGAATTGTCCACAAGGCTGTGTATGGAGAGCAACGTGGGCCAAAGGGCACTTCTGAGCCTTTGGGGAAGTGGCCGTGGGCCAGAGGGCCCTGTGCCTGAAAGCTCTGCTGACAAAGCTGGTCCTTTGTCCGCCTGGGAGTCCAGAATGCGGGTGAGAAGTGAACACGGTGAAAGGGCCGAGGAGAGTCCCTTGGGAAGAGTCCATTTTCCAGCAGCAGCTTGAAGGACAGTCACCTTCTCTCCTTCCCCATCCCTATCTGTGTCCCCCGCCCCCAACGCATAAGCACAGGGACCCTGTCATCTCGTGCACAGTAAATCCCGTAACTAAGCATGGCACTCAAACATTCCTTGTTGAATAAGTAAGTTCTCAGGCGACAAGGTTCAGTTGCAAATGTGCTGGCCGATACATCTACTAGAAAGAGCTGTGATTTTTAGACTCCCTCATGAATGTGGAGGCTCGGAGGCTGCGAGGGTTAGTTGAGGAGAAGGATGCACAGGGAGGGAGTTACCAGGGCACCACGAAGGGTTTCAAATTCTAGAAGAGGCGGCATTCCCCAGCTTCCCCACCACTCACCCTAACTTGCAGAGGACAAAAGTACCAAGATGGATGCCACCGTAACGGGCTTCCACAGATTCAAGGCTGACTTCTCCAGGCGGAAGCCAAAACTCCAGTGACAGGGCTGAACAGAGGCCACTCTCCTGGGTGGCAGTCTGGATGAGATCATCTCAGCGGTCTTTCGACCCAGAAGTTCTACGTCTAAATCCTCTTCCTCTCCTCCTCAGCTTGGATCTTCCAGGCCAGAGCTCATTTTACCAGCTCCCTCTACCAACTGCGTAGACGGATTTAAGATCGACTCTGGATCACCTTCCTTTTAACTCTTCTCCATTCCCAGAACACAGCCACAGATACATGAGTCAACTTTGTCTAGAAATTTAATCAGACATAATTAATCTATTACAGTAGCAGACTGGACAAAGTAAAAGTAGTTACTTAAACCTTTATTTGCCCTGACCTAGCGGCTTTCATTTCTCTTAAAATTCCTAAAATATTCTTTCCCAAATCCCGTATCTTGACTGACCACGTTAAAAATAGCCAGGGACCCGAGTCTTCTTTTTAACAAGCGCAATCACACCCATGGGAAATTTATTTAGTGCACATTTTTCTCATTTCCACCCTGATAAAAAGAGATGCCTTTACCGGCAGGACATCAGCCTCCTCTTTACCGCACTTCCCTCGAAGTAGAGATCCGTAATTCCAAATGAGAACCCAGCACCCAAGATGAGAAGCAGGACTATGAGCAAATGGCTTTGACTCGACATTCGAATGCCTTCGCTAGCCCCTACTGCTCTTTCCATATACCCTACACATAAGAAGTCTGACTTATCGTAGAATATTGCAACCCTCCTACATTCAGAGCATTTGCGAAACTTCTAATTGCATAAATTTTGATAAATATTAATGTAGAAATGCCCAAACTGTCACATGGATTTATATGAAACAATCTAGCTGTTAAGTCTAGATATAATTTCAATTTTTGTAGAATAAAACGTAAACCACTGACCAACGAAGATTCTCAAAAGGTTTTTGTGTAGGATTCTGGAGAATCTCACACTTCAAATCCACCAGGAAGGCAGTGGAATCCCATGGAAAGAACATTGGATTGAGAATCAGAGACACGAGGTTCCGGCCTGTTTTTTAAACCTAGTTCCCTCGTCCGTCGGAGGCTACCTACGGGTACCCACTGCGACCTTCCACACTGCTGTTACCTCGAGTTCTTTCTAATTGCTTTGGGTTTTTACTTACTCACTGCACTATCTATAGACACAATTTATGCCATGGAGGTGCCTGATGTGTTCCTGATTTCACTTCTGGACAGAGGAAGGACAGGACTGCAGTGATGTAAGGGTGAGCAATTTAAGAGGCTAGAAACCCAGCTGCCCTCTGCCCTGGCCCTGGCATCTATGGAAGAAGGGGGCATGGCAACTGATCAGAGGAACCAGAGCAAAGAGAGGGCCGCAGACCTGCTGTGGTCAGGTTAGGGCCTTTTCCAATTTTTATTCATTCAAAAAACACTAAGCTCCTACTATGCATAAGAGATGCTCGAAAATGTCAGACGAAGGGAAAATACTCAGAAATTCAGAAGTCATGCCGACGCTCTAAAAAACATATCTAAACCTTCATGCGCTCTCCTCCATTCTTTGCCTGACCTCTGCTCACATCACAGGCCACTAAACGTTCTCGTGAACAAGTTTTTCAGCACAGCGTGACATGATCTGTCCCTAATGCAAATGTCTGTTCCACCAAGAGATACGAGTCTTCGGCCTAAAACCACTTCAGTTGGTCTTCAGCTTCATGTGAGGACATGCCACAGTGATGATGCCTGCTATGGAGGACACAAGTCCTCCAAGTCCAATGACTCCAGGATTGGACTTATAGATCCCCAACTGGTCCAAAGAGCTCAGGATATCACACAAGTTCTTCACCGTGTCCAGGAGCAAGGGAGGATGCTTCCTCAGAGAGCGGAACAGGAGGAGAAAGGACTGGAGCCATTCTGTTTCCTCCTTGGCCACGCTGTACCCCAGAGGATCCTGGGATAATGACTTTTCCCTCTTCGCCCTGTCGTGTGCAACCTGTTCCATCTGCAGGGAGATTTCGTATAGATCCCTGACCAGGCTCAGCAGAACAGAATAGTAATAGTGGCGTGCGGCCCACATTCGCCATTTCTCTTGGTTAATGCCGGAGGTGAGCCCTACGCTCCTCACCCAGAGGACGGTGTCACAGATGAAGTAAACCACACGGTTCAGGTTGGCGAACGTCAGGCATACGCGGGGCACCAGGTCCGTGGCATGAGTGCTCTGCTGAGTGGCCTGTACAGCATGTACCACGTTGCCTAGTCTGAACCCTGCAAGAAGAACCCATAACAGTCAATGGTTATATAACTAATGTGTAACAGGAAGAAGGGTCCCTGTATCAGGGTGAGGCCAGCACTGGTATTTTATCAACAGACTGTCATTTGAGGCTCTGTCTTGCTCAGGAGGGAAGAAGGACTTCACAGCATGTTAAGGACACCTAAAATGAACCTGGAAGGCACGAAAGACAGTGGCTCTTAAGATTTATTGCCTGCATTGCAGTGAATACTGGAATTAACACTGTCTTACAACATACTTCAGGCAAGATCAATCGTGAGTGTAGATCGTCACATGTGAATATTACCGGCAACGCTTCTTTAGAAGGAAGATGCTATGATAACATGAACTCCACATGCAACTCCAAATTCTTTTGGAGAGTATGAGCCTTACATTTTATTTACTTTCTAGACAAAAGATTGCTTTTTAAAAAACACCAGTACCGATTTGCCATTTCTCTGATCCAAACCCCCTGTGGCTCCCTACCAAGTAAAGACGGTAGGATTTAGTGGACAGGACAACTAATAATATTGTCATATGTGACTCCTGCCTGAATTAAATCAACCACTGAAAAGTGTGTCCTTATCTGAGCATGTAAATCAATTAATCGGGTATGTACCAATCAAATATTTACTGACTGGCTACTCAGAATGAGTTGTAGTCCTAAACATTATGAAAGACACAAATAAGTGCGTTCCTTTCCTTAAAGGACTATATCTTAGACTCAGCAAAAGCTCAGAAGTATCTATCCTCGAAAACTTATAATCTCAGAAGAATGGTTGGTATTATTTTATCAAAAATAACAAAACGGAATATGTAATGAATACTCCTGGGTTCTAATTCTGGCTCTTGTACAAACTGACCTCGGGTTAAGTCCTTTCTGGACTTCAGAGACCAGTAACCTCTAAAGGACCTTTGAGCTCCAACGTTGTAAAGAATCTGAGAAATGCTAATCTTGGCTTTCGAAGCCAACCAGAAAAGCTCACCCTAGCCCTCCTGTCGCACTTGACAACTTAAGCCTTCCTTCTGTCAGCCTGGTCTTCTCACTGATCCTCCAGTACAACTGGTTTCCTCCCAACACTTCGGAGCCTTCACTAGAGGAAACCACCCTTCAAGAACGCTCTCCTCCCACCTCAAGTTCCGCCTCCTTCAAAACACCTTTCTTTTCCTCTACCAACATATATGTCACTTAATCTCGTATCGTCACTCACACGATGTGATCTGAGTTCTCCCATAAAGCTCAGGACTATGCCTCTGTGAAGCAGGTGCTCACAAATAACTGCTCAACATCTGATTTCTGCATCCCGTTCCAACGCCTCTGCTCACCTGCTCTAGCAACATCTGGTTCTCCTCAAGCAACTAGGAGCTGGGCACACGACCGGTATCGGACATATGGGATTTCCCAGTATGCTTTATTATTCAGGTGAATTAAATGAATACAAAACACCGACTTCGCTTTTTGCCTTTAACATGAAACCAAGCCTCAAATAGTCTAGGAAAACATATCTGTCCATCTCCTCTAGCAATCCTACAACAGAAGAAGTAGAAAAGGCAGAGGGTCCAAGACAGAGCTATTCTGCTCTTCTAGAGAACACGAAGGGCTGCCAGGAGCCCATGCCAGGGACTGCGAAAACATTTTGTGATTCTAAGAGCTAAAGGTGAACTAACACAGTGTATGCCCCATAAGTTATGATTAAACAGAAAGATAGGGTGTAGCACCAAATGTGAACATAGGAGGGTGTGTGTCAGGGACTGCGAAAACATTTTGTGATTCTAACAGCTAAAGGTGAACTAACACAGTGTATGATTAAACAGAAAGATATGGTGTAGCACCAAATGTGAACATAGGAGGGTGTGTGTGAACGCAGCAAAACAGTCACTTTTTTTGGCCTGTCGTTCCATGAGGCCAGACTTACTGGTAGACTTCATCAGCAAACCTGACTCGCTAGAAATCCATGAGCTAGAAAGTATTTTGCGAATGATAGAGTCTGAGGATCTAAACCAGGAGCCGCTGTCCCCCAGGAGACAGGGTACTTACATTTACGGCCAGTGCTCACACTGGACTCCAGTTCCTTGAGCTTCATTACCACCTTCTCTTTGCCAGCTTTAGGCTCTAATAAATATCTAAGCAACATGCATGTGTACTGAGTGGCTCTGAAACGGAAAAAAAAAATGAGTAATTTATAAACCAAATAAAACCTGATTCATAAATTAAGGGAAGGAGAAATACACCTTGCCGAAGATGAAAAAGACAATTTCTCATGTAGGCGGCTCTTACAAGAGCAAAATTCTGCAACAGTCGCTCCACAGGGCCAAGGGTGGAACACGTGACAGAAATGCAACGCAAAGATAATGAAAGAGAACTCGGCGATAATGCAGAGATCAGCCCCTCAGAAGGCCTTCTGCTGGCACAGAGAAGCAGAGTCAAAGTGGTAAACGGCACAAAAATCTCTCTCATGCTAAGTCTGCAAAGATCTTTATCTTCTCCGGTGCAGAATGATTTTTCAGATTTCTAAAATGAACTTTTTACCGTACAGCTAATCAAATACTTATGTGACAGGAGACACACTCAAACCAGAATCAAATAAAAAGTCTACGGTTTGAACATTGCTTACTTTTTAAAATAAAGAATACATACTAATACATAAATAAGGTATCTGTCTTTCAAAAATAATTAGTATTTTATATAAAATGCAGACTTTTATGTTTAATAATAGTCAATATTCAATAGAGTGATTACTGTCGACTATAAATAACAATTCCTTACTAACGGAAAACAGAATATGTAAAACGTTTATATCCCATAATTAAACATTTAAATGCACTTGGCAGTCTACTTATTAAAGCAGGTGCCTGTTTTCTACTGTCCTATAACTGCATTTGAATTCCTTTTATGCTATAAATATTACTTTTGTGAGGAAGAAACCTTCCTCTATCCTCAATGTTCTTTCTGTTGGTCTAATAATTAAATCTACGAGACACAGAGTAGTAAGAGAAAATGACCAAGGTTAATTACATATTTATGTATGAGAACCCTACATGCATGAGACAGTCAGAGACTCCACATAAATGACACATTCAGAGACAGAAGGGAAATTGCGGTACATACAATGTTGTAGCTAAGGATGAGATAAGGCTCGTTGGGGCTTCAGGGGGGAGGAAGGTCGTCTGCAGATGTTCAGTAATTAGAAGTTTGCCCTGCCCTATAGAAAGGTCATAAAAAGTTATTTCTGGTGATAACACCTATTATGGGCAAAGCTCCTAATTTAGATTCTTCTAGGTATTTAAGGCGGGGCAGGGGAGAGGGGAGAGTCTCTCTTGAACCTTCAGGGTCTTGTCTTTAGTGCAAAATAATCCACATATCACAAACCTCTACACTCTCAATTAAAATATAGCACATTTTCCAAAGTGGTGACCTTGTTATTAGGGATGAAGTAAAAAAAGAAACAATCACCTCCTGCCCCTGCCCCACAACAAGTATGTTTGCTGGCTAGAGGACTCAAGCTGGTCAAGTCGAAGAATTGCCCTTCCTCGGATTCAGTCTAATAATAGGAATATGTCCAAAACCAAGGTGTTCTTTCAGTTGTCACAGAAGTCACAGAAGGTATACATCACTAAGGCTACTGGGAAATGAATACCAGAGACTTCAGATCTTGCTGAATAAGTATATCCTTAACAACAATTTTATTAACCAACCTCATTAATAAACCTTGCAGGGTACATTCTGAGTCCACTGGAATTGTAGGCTTCCACTTTAATGAAGCTTGTATACAATGCAATCATTAAATTTTTTTGCAAATAAATCTGAAAAGTAGTTTGGCTTGGTGGTTAAAGAGGTGGGCACTGGAGTCAACTGTGAAAATTTAAATCTCTCAGCTCAGCTACTTGCTACGTATTAACTTTCTGCTTCGGTTTCTCCGTCTGTGGAATGGGGATGGTTTAAATGATCTATCTCATAGAGTTGTGATAAGGGTTAAATAAGTTGAGTTGTGATCCACTGAAAACAATATCTTGCACAAAGTCGCTCTCCAAAGTCTCATTACTGGGGCTGTTCTTACAGGTGTCTGTATTGCCACGTGTACACCCAGATGAGGAGGAAAAGCTGTCAAATGAAGCTGCAACTCTAACTATTCTTTTTATTATTATTATTGAGCAAGACCAAACCTCTAAAAGAAACATCATGAACTTATGAATATGAAAGCCACAATCTCTTTAACGTTTTCGGTAGCACAGCGTGTACCTCAGAGGTGCTGTTAGCTCGTTCTGAGGCTCTCTCCATACTGCATTTTGTTTTCCAGTTCACAACTCTTCCACGTGCAGTAAGCATCTCACTCAAGTAATAAGGCCATCAATGGGAGATAAAGAAGGTTACTGAAGTTTCTGTCTCTCCACAAGAAACCACAAACCAAGAGAGTGGTTCCCTGGCCACAAATGCCAACCCAAAGTTCCTTTTAGAAGCAAAGTCCTCGGAAGCACGTTGAGCAGCTTGGGCGAGGAGGGCTCGTCCCCCGCTCTAACCCTGGCGGCGGGCTCGGGACGCGCACGGTCTCTTGGCCCAGAGCCCACGGAATTCGCGGTGAGAGGCTCGAATCGAACTCCCTCCGGGGGCCGGCAGCCTCCTTCTGGCTTTCGTCCACTGGCTACGCCCCTCTCCCCGGAGTGCGGAGAAAAAGGACCCACTTGCGGGTCGGGGAACGGGCGGAGGCCGCTGCACCAGACTAACCTGAAGAGCCGGTCCCGGCCCTGGGTCTGGTTGGTGAAGCGGATGAAGGCGTCCATGGCGCCCAGCTCAAGGCCAAGCGTCGCACTGGGATCGGTCGTGAGTCCTCAGGGTGCAGCGCCGAGTCCCCGCGGCCGGGTGAGCCTCGCGACGCCGGAGGGGCTGGGTCTCCCTGTCCCGTGGGGCCGGCGCATTTTCCCAAGAGCGATTTCGCAGGCTTCCGGTCTGGGCCGGAAGTTGTGGTTACTAAGGCGACGCCAAACAGCTGTCCCAGGTGAGTGAAACCTCTGCTTCTGCTCCGCGGAGCATCGGTTCCCTACGTGCTCTCCGCATCCAGGGTCTGCTACAGGGAGTTCGAGGGCGCCCGTCTCACCAAATCAGGTGTTCCCGGGACGCCCCACGCCTCCCTGCAGCTCCTGGGTCCCCAAGAACCCCAGGTGGAATCCAGAATGGAGATTCCCCTGAGCTTTTGCTGGGGACTACCGGGGCTAACCAGTTCCCAGATCTGTGCCTCTGTCTCCCTCTAGCAACACCAGCTCCAAGTCTGGGGCAGGACACGGTTAGAGCAGAGATAAGCCAATTCTTGGAGTGTATTTCTAGCACGAGAGCCCGGAAAAGTTCGAGAATTTTCTGTTAGGAGTATTGCACACTAAATGAAGATCACCACTTGAGGGAAATCCTTAAAAGGGCCAACATGAACAAAGTGGAGGCAAAAATAGTCTACGGTGAAATTGCATCACTGAACCTTCCTTCTGTGGGGCTCGAAGACATGGAACCTCATGCATTCCATAGCAGTGATTTAAAAAAAAAATTTTTTTAATGTAACCCATGTTCCACATTAAATAACTTCTTAAAAACTTTTGAAAGCCTTTTTATGATTTGTAGTTTTGAGTTTTACAAAGTACAGATAACTTGTTCTTTTCTTATAGACTCAAACTTTATGTACACAGTGAAGATAATAAATTGTAAACATTTTTAAAAATATTTAATTATTTTGATTTTGTAGATTTTTTTTTTCTTGTAGTCAATTTTTTTTCAAGTTTCATACATTTCTGTAGGTCCTTGAAAAACCTCAGGTTCTAGGCACTGCACCTACAGAACTCCTGGGTGGCAACAGTGAATATACAGAGGAACAAGTTAGACAGCAGTTTTTGGAAGTGTTTAAATTACTGCCTCTGACTGGTGAGGGAAAGAAAAGGGAGAATGAGCACAGCCATTTACAGAGATGGAAGAACCAACCATAAGACATCATTTGTAGGAGAAAGGCGGATTCTGTTTGGGACAGAAAAACAGCCACTCTCTTATCGAGAGGTGAAGGAAGGCAGCAAGGATGCCAGATTCCTTTCTTTCCATCATAATACACATCATCTTGGGCTGGCCTGGAAGATGTGAATAGTCAATACTTGTCTCTGCTGATGTCCTTACTAATATGAACGGTGTGTCTTAGTAATGTGATAACAATCCTGTGATAAATAAGGGAAGTGTCAGTTCTAAAATAAACAGTCCCCATAGGCCACTGTGCTAGAGATGATATACTGTTTTCTAGTAACTTTCTCTTTTTCTCAAAGTACCTTTGCTTGCTTCCTTTATCAGCTTTTCAGAGTTTCACAGATGTTACCCGTGCCGCCTTCTGCGATGTCATCCCCCATAGGAAGTCGAGCCCACAAGATGAGACTACCTATTTTTACACGAAAGGGGCTGCTGGAGGTGCCATCTCCCACAGAGAAAGACTGGCCTAAGGATGACGAAGAGGATTATGTCTTCAAGGATCCAGATCAGGAGCTGGATTCCTTGCCTCAGCCCTACCGAATGATCAACAAGCTGGTAAACCTCCTGTTTGACAGGTCGTGGGAAGTAATTGAGGAGAGGGACACGCTAAGGGAAGCTGAGCTCAACCGGATCCAGCCCACTGTCTACCCTCCAGTCTTTGAAATCAAGGTATGGAGCAGCTGACCAGGAGCCCCTGTTTCTTAGCTGAGTGTTAATAAATAAAAACATAACCCAGGAAAGGAATTCCTTCCAAGAACCTTCATTCAGTAAGACAGCTGCATTTTTGAAAGATTATAGCCACGCTGATGTTGATTAAAATGGACCTAGTCATTCACTGTCTGGGGAAATGGGTGTTCTGGTTAATTGAAGATTATACAGAAGGTCTTTTATATTCAGCTGTTATTTTAAAATATTTCTGCTTGTAATAATCACTGTCTTGCTTGATGGTTGACAATCTGCCAGTGCCTCAGCTATATCTCTTTCTACAGCGTTCTAGATGAATTAAGTATAGGGCCACTTGTCCAATCATCACGAGGCCCATGATTGTGAATAGCCATTAATTCTCTACTTCCTTGTTTTTTCTGGCCCCTTTCCCGTAAAAGTGGAATGCCATGACTTTCTTGACACATGGGCAAGATATTTAGGTGAGCGCTCTGTTTGGGAATGGTATTATATCTAGGTATTATATCTAGGCATTATGGTATTATATCTAGGAAGGGCACATATCTCTCTTTGAAACATTAGCTTGTATTACTTGCAGATGATGATAGCTGACAATCATTCCTTTTTTTTTGTTTTTGTTTTCTGTCTTCCCAGTTCAACAAAATGCCAAATTGTATGGCTATTTCCCAAGACTACGTGTTTATTGGAGGAGCCAAAGGATTCTCTGTGTACAATCTGTATGATGCTAAACGAATGTATGTCTGGGATAAACTGAAGGTTGATGTCACTTCCATCTGGGCCACAGATTTGGGGAGTGATACACTTATTGCTCCTGTGGATGAAATGGGTACTTGTTCTTCATCTTCCTTTTAGCCTAGTTTACCTGTACCTGTACACTGTTGTTCAGTTTAATCACCTTGCCACTTGTGGGCGGGGTCAGACATGAAGCATTCTCCCTGGTTGTGTAGTAGTGACCAACACCGACAGAACAGTATGGTGTACCAGGCACTACTCCAACATGTCACATATTTGGCCCATTTAACAGCCTTCACGACAGTCCTAGGAGGTAAGTATAATTTATTATCCCTGTTTTTCGGAAGAGGCAACTGAGGCATGGAGGTTAAATAAGTTACTTGAAGTAACGTGGAAAATAAGTGGCACAGGCAGGATTCGAACCCGGCAGAGTGGCCCCAGAGTCCACGCCCTCTGAGCACTGAGCAATCCTGCCACTCACATAAACCAGAGTTTGCTTTTTCCCCTTAGCCTGAGGATGAACCAGGCCCTCCCGGGGACTAGAGTATGGAGAATTATAGACAGTGTCCTCGAGGACACTGTTTCTGCAGGAGAGTGACCTGACCTGATTGGCATGTCAGAAAGGGCACACTGGTAGGTGTCTGAAAAAGTCAAGCTGAGAGGCAGAGACACCAGGAAGAACTCTTGCATTCACTGAGAGAGATTACGAAGGTCTGAACCAAGGAGGGAGCTGTTCGGAAGAAAGGAAAAAGTGTACTATGGTTATAGAACATGGTAACATTAGGGGGAGCGAGGTAGGGGATATAAGGGAATTCTTTGTACTATTTTTGCAAGTTTTCTATAAGTCTAAAATTCGTTTAAGACACAAATATTTAGAAATGAAAATGTAATAGAAAAACCTGGTGAATGATGGAAAATGTGTATAGGGTAGGGAAGGAAGTAAGCAGGAAGTAAAGACCATGAGTCCTTTCTGCCTTAGATGACAAAGCCGTTCCTTGGTAGCCGTGATAGGAGAATAAGCCTTCAGGGGTCTGTGAGCTAAAGAATTCCATTTGAGGTCACAACTCTGAGGCACCTGGGCTGGGGATGTTGGCTCAGGAGGCGGGTCTCGAGGGAGGATAGCGTTTCTCGCACTGCACTGCACCTGTTTGGTGTCCCGTCTGTGACACTCGATGTGATGAATCTGAGGGCAGAGACTGCCTTGGTTGTCCCTAGCTCATTCATGGTCATGGAGCAGACAGCCCGTGAATTTTTACCGGGTTGAGTTAGACTTTCATCCACAGTGGGCAGGATGCCTTTGCAAGGTCTGTATTATGGGTGAAGGAGCAGGTTACGAGTGTCTGGGAGGCACCCAGAGAAAGGTAAGAAGTCATGGTGGATGGGGATCCTATACTGGAGCCCTTAGGTTAAATGGGAATTAGAATGACATTAAGTCAACAAGATTAACTGCAGGATTAACTGCGTGAGGAGCTTGCTGGAGGTTGAGAGATAGGTGACAAGCCATGGCAGATGCTGATCCTATACTGGAAGAATGAGACATGATCCTTTCCCTCAAAGAATCTATGAACTCACTAGAAAAATAAAAAGCAACCCACAGGAAACGGATAACGGTATGAGGCGGTGTGGGATGATGTGCTAAAACAGGGAGAGAAGTTGAGGAGGGGACTGGTGTGGCTCACAGGAGGCTTCTAGGAGAAGAAGGTAGGGCCGGGGTAGGCAGAGAAGACCCAGGACGGAGACCAAGGTGACCATGGGCAGTGGAGGGGCCAGGGAGGAGGCCTAAGGACGCATGACCTTATGACGATAACTCCAGAAAGACCTCATGCAAAATTTCTGTGCTTCTTGGCTCACTGTCTGTCTTACAGTCTTATTTATTCTTTTGTTTCAGGTGTCATTAGACTGTTTTATTTTTATAAGGACAGTCTTTTCTTCATCAAAGCCATCAATGAAGTGGTAAGTTCCTATAGCTGGGCCAACAGCTAGAGCAAATCAAGTTTACTTTCAATATGAAGGCGAGGACAGCTGTCCTCAAACAACAAGAGATAGAGACCTCCCTGGCCAGAGAGCCTCCTCTGAAACATTCAGTTAAAAGCGCCCCCACCACTGGAGGTGCCTGCTGATGCCTTGCATTCACTCACCCTGTTGTCAAGAGAAGAAAATTACTAAGGCTCTCCAGTCCAGATTGAGCACCAGACCAACCCATCTAATAACTACTTATAAGTCCCTATTCCTCCAGGCTGCTTCATGTGCTGTCCCCTAAGTCACGCTGTTCCGTCTGCTTGGAGTGCTATTCTTACCTCCCTACCCGTGAGTGCTTCTTACATTCCCCTCATTCCTCAAGACCGGCTCACGAGTCTCCTTCTCTGAGTTCCCTGGCGTACCTAAGAGGAGCTGGTCTCTCCCTCCACGCTGCCACCACCATCCGCGACAGACTTTCCATCACCATGTCTCCTCCACCCTCCACGCTTACTGGCTTATGCCGCTTCTCCTGGACATGTTTCCTGAGGGCAGGGGACGTGCCTTATTCACCTATGTACTCTTCATTCCTAGCATATTGCCTGCATATACCGTAGGTTCTCAGAACTTTTTTTTTTTTAATTAATTAACCAAAAAAAGAGAGGGTATTGCTCAGAGTAATTTTTAATTGCAGTTTGTCTTGTAAAAAATATTACCGATGGGCCCCAAAACCTTTCCCTGGAGAAAAGAGTTGTCAGCAAGCGACGTGGATGAAGGAAATGGGAGGAACAGGCCTCGACCCTACTTCACGCTACATGTAAAAACGAACTTGAGAGGATTATAGGCCTAAATGTAAAGGCTAAAGACATTATTCTTCCTGAAGAAAACATGGGGAAATATTTTTCCAATCTTGGGCAGGCAACGATCTCTTAGGATATGAAAAGCACTAAGCTGTAAAAGAAAAAACTGACATTGGACATTATTGAAATTAAAAACTTCTCATTCCTTGCCCGCCCTGCCCCCCCACAAAAAACACTCTAAATGGATCTGATACTTGTATGTGAATTCTAAAACTATGAAACTTCTAGAAGTAAACAGAGGAAATCTTTATGACGTTGGGTTAGGCAGATTTTTTTTTAAGCTACAACATCAAAAGCACAAGCCACACAAGAAAAAAAATTGTACACTGGATTTCATCAAAATTAAAAATTTCTGTTCTACAAAAACACTGTTAAAAGAATAAAAACACAAGCCATAGACTGGGAGAAAATAATTGCAAATTATGTATCTGATAACGGGCCTGTGTCTAGAATATATAAAGAACTCTCAAAATTCAACTCAACAATAAGAAAACAAACAGTCCAATTTTTAAAACGAGCAGAGGACTTGAAAAGAAAGGACAGTTCACCAAGTACTATATATGGAAGGCAAATGAGATGTTCGACATCACCGGTCCTTGGGGAAATGCAAATCAAAATCACGAGCTATCACTGCACATGTATCGAAAGGCCTACAATTAAAAAGTCTGACCACCCCAAGTGTTGGCAGAGATCTGGAACCGCTGGGACTTGCGCACACTACTGCGGTAGAGTATAGCGGTGCAGACGCTTTGGCAGTTTTTTCAAAAGTTAAGCACACACCTACCACGTGATCCAGCCACTCCGCTCCTAGGTGGCTGCCCAGGAGAAGTGAAAGCCAGCCTCCTTACAAAGACTTGCACATGAATGTTCATGGCGGCTCTGTCGGGAACAGCCAAAACCCAGAAACCACTGAATGTCCACCGACAGGTGAATGGTGAGCAGACCGTGGCACAGCCACGCAAGGACTGCTGGCGGGCAATAAAAACGGACGTTCGTAACTACGTGGATCAATCTCAGACTAATTATGCCGAGTGAAGGAAGTCAGACAAAAAAGAATGCACGTGTGAGTCCATTTCAGTAGAATTCTAGCAAATACAAACTAATCTAGTGACAGGACACTTCGGTATTTTGCCTGGGGTGGGACGGAGGAAGGATTACAAAGGGGCAGAGGAAATTCGGGGGTGATGGTTATGTTCACTACCTTGCCTGCCGGGATGGTTTCAAGGGATAGACATATGTCGAAACTTGTCCAACTGTACACTTCGTACATGTTACGACTCCACTAAGAATGCTGCTAATTTTTTTTAAAATTTCTGCTCATCGAAAGATGCGATTAGAGTTCAATCAGTATCAGAGGTGAAGATTGGACCCCTCCCAGGGATCCCTGAGAAACCCCACCGCCGCTCCCACCCCAGTGACCCCCACACCCCAGACCCACAACCCTGAGCAAGGAGGCTCTGCCCACAGCTGCGCCACCCGCAGGAGGAGTGGCACCCGCTGGTGGGGCAAGGAGGTCCCGGCAACGAAGGTTTAGGGAACAGTCAGATGGCCCCACGTGAACGACGATTATGCTGACATCCACAGGAAGGACACCAAGCAAGACGCTGCCACCGAGAATAACTCCAGGAAACGTCGCCTGTGTCCGGGGACCTGCGGGCACCCACCCTGGAATTCCAACCCTCCGGAGCGGGGACAGGAGATGGCATGGCTGACAGCACGAAACAGGGCGGATCAGTGAGGCAGAAGCTGTATAGGGGGACGGCTGGGGAGAGCAGAAGGACAATTACGGAGATGAGGCCGCAGGTCAGCAGCCGCCTCAATGCGGGATCCCGACTGAGCTACCACCGCAAACGCACAGAAAACCTAAGCCGTAGGAGCAAAAGCAGCGAGAATCAAGCCACGGAGTCATCAGCTCCTGGGGCTGAGTACGGTCAGCTGACCACCTGAACCATCACCCAGTTCTGTCATCCAAGAGGAGATGACTGTGATGTTCCAGCCATAAGAAGTGAATGAAAGACTGGGGAGAAGACCTTAAGGGCTTGGTTTTTGTTGTTGTTGTTGTTTTTTTACCTAAAGACTCTCTTTTTGGTAATACCAAACGAGCCTGGGTTTTCTCAATTCAGCCTTAAAGGTTTTGAAATGGTTTCAAATCTGGCTCTACGTCGAGATTTTTAAGAACCTCCTTTTTAATTTTTAGTAAAACAGTACAACTTAATT